TATATATATATATATATACATACATGTATATATATATCATAATTGGAAAAGTATCGATATAAAAGTTTTCGACGTCATTTATCAATATTTTCACTTGTAATAGTATTAATATCTCGATATCTTGATTCATCGTATCAACAACACTCGCTTCTGTAACAAACAAATTCGATATCAGGAACATTGAGAAATTGCATAAATTTCGTCGAAGAAATCTTCCGCGTAAAATGTCCGTATCACAAATATGCAAAGGAAAGAAATTGGCTGTGTTACGAGAAACGATAGTTTACTTAAATTCCAAGGCTGCACGAGCCTCCAGTTCTCGCGGTCAACGCGAAAACCCGCGTACGCAGATGGAATCGTGATAATATGTAAAACGATCACCACGAGGGTTTGCGCGTTTTCGTCTCTCGAAATAGACGGTCGAAAAGTCGCTCACTGGGCCCTCTCGCCTTCCCCGTATTTTCCTCAAGAATTCGTCGCGAACTCGAAACAATTTTTAGGCTTAACAACATCGTCGTTCTCCATCGTCATCCATCCACAATCTCGGCCGTTATATTAAATTCTTTATTGCTCCCTGCTCAACTTGTCGTATTATCATCGTGTGAAAAGAAGAATAAAGTGAAATTCGGTGAAAACAAAGTATATTAGTTTAGTTAATTATGAAATGTTTCCATCAATAAAATATTTAATATCTATCATCTTCCCTTCTATCTCTGATTCTTATTTTTTTAGATTGATACAAAACTTCCTCTTGTCGTCGATAGTTTTTATCGATAAGCGGAAAGAAGAGGACCTGATGCGATTATCATGGAGGATGACGGAAAGAGAGCGTGTAACGCTTAAATTTACAGGGAAACTTTTCGATAAATCGACGAATCGGACGAATGTTCCGACGTCTTTTCAAGTTTCGACAACACGTCGAAACTCTTCTCCCATAGTATCGTACCGTTGAAAGTTTCGTGTATTTCAGGCCGTTTAAATGGTTGGAATAACACGAGTTGTAGACAGAGGTATGTCTTTTAGCATCGGTTCCCGATTAAAAAACTGCGTCAATAATAAATTAAAAAAAACGTAATGGCCGATTGATCGGTTGCCAGCTTAAAACAAGCAGCACGGTGATGACAAACGACGCTATTTCCGCCTAAGAAGTCTTCTTCTCTTAATGGCATTACACAATCCATCGAGAATATAATAATAAAAAAACAGTTTCGACTTTTGCAATCTTCTTTCCCTCCGGTATCGTTAATTTTTCTATTAATTCTTTACTAGAGATAAGCTTTTACGCGTTTCGTCATATCGTGCTGTTGTCAATCAGTAAACGCGATAATAATAGTAACGGTACAATTTTATATAACTTTCAATCCGTTTTCCAACGGAACGGCGATACAGGAAAAGTTTTACGGAAATTGATTATTCGAATGGAAATTCCGAAGGAACAACCGGGCCGACCTATCATCGCCACTCGCGATAATACCGATAAACGAGTCACAGTTTTGCAAATAAGCAAGACGTGTCGCGTGCGATGAGGTGGCAATGTATGTTTCTGACGGTCCACATTTTGCGTGTGGATCGTGGTTTCTATATACGTGCACGTCTATGCGCAAGTGTGATGAATAGGTACGCGTACGTGGACTACCGTATGCACTCGTGCAAAGTTTATTTCGGTTCGTCCTGTAATATTAGACGTGATGCGAACATTCGAACGCAGGATCTACGAGGGAACGATTAAAAGTCTCGAGTAAATACTAGAAATGTTCGACTAGTAGTCTAATAAAAAAAGGAAAAAAAAAAAAAGAAAGAAATATTCGATACTCTGAAAATGAATCGTCGAAACATCACAAGTTTAATCGACCTATTAAAATTATACGCGACGATATTTTTTTCTCTTCATGAAAAATATTTATGAAATTTTAATCAACGTTGACGCTGAATTAAAATTGATCGACGTCGCATCCATAAATGTTAAATCAAGTTGTCGCGCTATTGTAAGAAAGGTATTTGTCACGTTGTCTCGAGTCAATACTCGAAGAGAATCGATCGTCGACACCGAGATACCCACTCACTTACGGTCAAATTTATTTTTGGCCACGAATTCTCTCGTACGCGAAATCGAACCGCCGTGTTCTGGGCGGGAATCGTCTTATGTCGAATCTCGGGTCTACGATACCCGCGGCGTACAATCCTTCTTTCTATCTGTCCGCTTCTAAAATTGTAACCTGGCGAACAACCTCGGTGGTCGACCGGTTGAACTCTTTCGAAGATATAAATTGCTCGAAATCGTTATCCTCCAAACACTTATTCGAACGAATAGATTTCTCGGAACGAGATTAGCATGAATAATAAAAAATTTAACGATTCAATTACCTTGCTAATTCCTCGCTCGAAATTCAGACTCGAAATTGTTGAACGTTTATCGAGTGGGAAGAATAGCGACTATTAATTAATAAACGGACAAAAGATTTTTTTAAACACGAGGTAAAAGAAAAAGAAGTTCCACCGTGCTCCTTTGAATCTTTCGATATCTTCCTTCTCCAAACCGCGGACACGCTTCCTCCATTCAGATATAATAGAATATCTCCGTTTCGTGACGCGGCTCTCCCATTCAACTGCCGCTTTCAAAGGGTTAAAAATAAAGTTGGCATCGAGGTAATATTTTGTCCACTTTTTAAAATCCACGCTCGAACCAAATCACTCCGCACTGAGCAAAAATTTACAAATTTTTTTTCTCCTCTCGTAGATCTTCGAAATCTCTTTCCGTATTCTCATAAAAACGTGTTCCGAACTTATCCGAGTCTTGTTTGATTTTTTTCCCTCCGATCTATTCCGATTCCGTAATCCACTTTCCTCGTAAAGTTTTAAAATTCCACAAATTCCAGTGTACACCAGTGACACAACGAAGAGGTTAAAATCGCGAACAAAAGAAATAATCCCAAAAGAGATATAGGACGAGCGTGAATCGTCGATACGCGTTGTACGATCGCGCGACACCGACTGAGCGGCAGCGCGACAGAAAAGAGCGACAACTCTGTCCGATACTTCGAGCTATACGTGCGCTCTATTCATCTCGAAGTCACGTCGAATAATACCGTCCAATACGATTGTTCGAAGAATAAGAAGAGCGGATTAATAAACGCGGTGGTTCGAAACGACGGTTATTAATCGACGAAATGATTTTTTAATCGTACAATACCGACTTATTTTGGGCTGGAAAATATCCAAACGCGATTATGATTGGCATGAGATATTGGCCTTCGGTGTAACAATCGCGATACGCTTTCCACCAGTTATTTTAGTCCGATATACGTATCGTTTCGATTCGAGAAAGAGAATACATGATACAAATTTATGCACCTTTAAATTTACGCTATTTTACGTTATGTTTTTGCATCTCCTTGCATAGTAGCGTAAATTCTCCAAAATTCAAACACAAAATTAGGAAATCCGGAAGGGATGTCGATGCAGCCTTCGAACCTCAGTTAATTGACGAAACGCACGTGGCCGATCGAACGAGCGTGTCCAACCGAACCGATTTCTCGCGTTCTATCCAACGTTTCATTGTCCAAGTAGGCGTGTACCGGGTTAACGCGTGCCGGGGCTGACGCAATTTACGCTACTTACGTAAATCAACGTGAGAATACGCGTCACTCGGAGCCATTCGTAATTCACCAAGTCCAGTAATCGTGTAATTTACACGTAGTTCGATGTTAATGGTAATTAGAGAGCGTTGCAATTTCTAAATTAGACGGGGAAAAGAACGCGAGATACACAGAGAATTTCTCTTGGCGTGAAAAAGGAAGAGCCGGTGAGTGAGATTTGTGCATACAAGGATAATTCAATTTTCCATTGTTTATGACATCCATTAATTTTTGTTCGAACATGGGATCAACGTGTACTCTAGTCATCCGTGTCACTGGGTCAAGCTATACCTTCCTCCTCTCGATGAGGGTGATGAGATTTAATTCGCTATTCGACGTGACTCTCTTTCCAACTTCAACTGCCTCTCTACCCTCTCCCCTGTAATTTCAATGAATCCTCCTTCTCTTCCCGACGTCTCTCACTCCCACGTAACTATTAAACGAAACGACTGAAATGAATGACAACGAGGGAAAACGCGATGTCTGCGTTCCATCAATTTGTCGGTCCAAAATTTTTTCCACTGCATTTCCTGCTCTAGAAATTTTTCCTTTTTTTATTAAGTCTTTACGCCATGTCTTTAATTTCTCGCTGCCTCTAGAACTCTCATTCCCAAAGAACGAGGCAACAAGCTCGATCAAGTCATCGTTCTTCTCGGCAGTAAAATCAATATGAAAAATACTTTCTGAAGCAATTTAGAGGCCAAGCGTCGCAGAAACTCGTGCGTAAATACGTAGAATCTATCGTCTACGATTTGTTGAATCGCCAACAGCCGAGCAGTCTCGGTGTTACATGCATCCGGAGGAAGAATTAAAAGCGAAGGGTAGGAAGCGCGTGGCAAAAGTCGGCGAGGTCGAAAATCGAGTAAATCTTGGACCGACTTTGGTCCACGATGCGCGTGACGCACTCGTGATGGCCATTTTGCCATTCCCCGGAGGGTTCCTCGGCCACTCTTCGCGAGCCGATTTAATTATTCCACGAAGGTAGACGCTTTGAGTTTTCCGGCAGCGGTTGCACGCTGCGAACGGAAGAACAACCCGAGCTAAATATATTTCTGGACGCCAGAAGCGGCTCGACATTTTTTTCTTCTTCTTTTTTCCCTCTTCTTCACTTGTTTTCCCTCCATCGTTCATCTCCCTCTTCTTGTCCCTCACTCTTTCCTCTTTTTTTTCTTCCTCCTTCTTCTTCATTATTTCACCGACCTTTCTACATTTTTTAATGGTATCTATCACGTATTCTTTCTTTTTTCTTCTCGTTCTCTGCCATTCCTTCTTCTCGTCGTTTTCTCAACTTTCTCGTGTATCTCCATCATCGTGTGGATTCCGCGATACTCTTAATTTTATTACCTTTTTCTTCTCCATTCGAGTATAGAGGATGAAACATACGCGCGGCGTCTCGTCTATTCCCATTCCGTCTCGGAAGTTGTTCCTCATGACCAGCTGTTCTTGTTGCCGGACAGAGTTGGAGCCGGCTAATCCGCTATTAATCGAAGCAAATGCCTGACCTCGCGATCTACTTGCCCGCTCGTTATTATTACTCCCCGGGGGATTTCAAGACCGCGCCGTTTCTCCGGGAACTCGTTTACGGATCCTTCTTCGTGCCCGACAATTTCTTTTCTCCCCTCGTTCCATCCGGCCACACGAGACCGCGTCAATTCCGCTTCCTCGTTCCGCATTGCGATGTTCAGTTACGCGTTCAGTCCTCTTCTATTTATTCTCACCGCGTTCGAATCCTCTTATCGATACTATATTTTATTTCCTTCCATTTTTTTTCTTTTTTAATTTTTCCACGGAGAGATTGATAGTCGAGGAGCATCGACCTTCG